CGGGCCAGCCCAAGAGGATTGCCAGTGCGTCGCCCAGGAGTAAGGAATTGACAGCGGTACGCTGGTGGAGCGCATCAACTTCGCCTCCGACCTGCTGGGGAACACCGAGCTTCCCGGCGTCCAGTCCCTGGTGAACCGCCTGATGTCCCAGGGCGACACCCTGAGCCCGGACCAGTTCGTGGAGGGCTGCCTGGACCTGACCGGCCCACTGGCCGTTACCGACGACACCTTGCAGCAACTCAAGGCCCATGCCTCCAAGGACGGCGATCTCAGCACAGGGAACCAGGCCGAGTTCGCCCGCCGCACCGGCGAAATGTTCCAGATGATTGCCGCAACGGCAGAGTTCCAGTTCGAGTAATTTAGTAGAAGGAGAAGAGACTATGGTTTCTACGCAGAAAGACCCGGTACTGGCCGTTCTGTCCCTTTCCGGCGGCAACGATGGCCTGAATACCGTAATTCCTTATTCCAACCCCCTGTATCGGGACTATCGCCGCACCCTGGGCATTCCCGAAGGGCAGATCATTCCCCTGAACGACGACCTGGGCTTCCACCCGACCATGGGTCCGCTGAAGAAGTTCTGGGACGAAGGCAAGCTGGCCATTTTCCTGGGCGTGGGCTATCAGAACCCCAGTTACTCCCACTTCCGGTCCATGGACATCTGGCACACCTGCGAGCCCGACAAGATCGGCACCGAGGGCTGGCTGGGTCGCGTACTCAAGGAAATCGACCCCAACGCAGAGAACGTGCTGACCGGCGTTAACTTCGGCCGCGGCCTCCCCCGCGCCCTGGTAATGGAAGGCGTACCCGTGGCCTCCGTCGGCAACCTGGAGACCTATGGTCTGCTCACCGGCATTGACGGCGAGGAACAGCGCAACGAGGCCCTGGACGTGTTCGGTCGCATGTACTCCCCTGCCATGGGCAGCGGCTCGGTGCTGGACTACATCCACAGCACCGGCACCAACGCCCTGAAGGGCGCCGACATACTGTCCACCGCCCCGGACAAGTACACCAGCAACGTGGAGTACTCCAACACCGTGGTGGGCCAGTACATGAAGAACATCGCCCAGACCCATCTGGCCGAGTTCGGCAGCCGGTGCTCTACACCACGTCCCCGTACAACAGCTTTGACACCCACGCCAACCAGGCCACCCTGCACTCCGGCCTGTGGAGCGACGTGTCCAACAACGTGGAGACCTTCTTCCAGGATCTGAAGGACCACAACGCCAGCGACAACGTAACCCTGTTGATGTTCACCGAGTTCGGCCGCCGCATCAGCGACAACGGCTCCGGCACCGACCACGGCGCCGGCGGAATTGCCTTTGTTGTTGGCGACCACGTCAAGGGCGGTATCTACGGCGAGTACCCGTCCCTGGAGCCAAGCCAGCAGGTAGAGGGCGGAAACCTCAAGTACAACATGGACTTCCGCTCAATCTACACGACTATCGTGGAAGACTTCTACAAGATGGACCCCCAGCCCATAGTCGGCGGCTCCTTCGAGAAGATCAACTTCATGTAGGCTCCGGGTAGGCCTTTGGGCTTGCCACGACAACTGAAACAAATATCCGGCGGCACCGACTTCCTGCTCAAGTGGCCTGGGGTCGGCGCCCCCGGAAAAACACAATGCGAATAAACGAGGTAAGAGCATGAGCACCCATTTCTTTGGGCTTACCGCCCGGACGTACGAGTACAGCCACTCAGTGGGCCGTAACGAGTTCGCCGGTACGGGGTTCCGCAACCCGTCGGACATGGCCATCGATGCCGACGGTGTGGTGTACGTAGTAAACCGCTCCTATGAAAACCGTCCCGATGGCGTGCGGGTAACGTCCTGCACCCTGGATGAAAATTACATCAGCGAGTTCGCCACCTATGGCGAAGAAGACGGCAACTTTATCTGGCCCGCCGGCTGTGCCCTGGACAGTGAAGAGCGTCTTTTCATTACCGACGAGTGGCTGAACCGGGTTACCATCATGTCCAGGGACGGCGAGTTCCTGAGCAAGTGGGGAACCGGCGGTTCTGGCGACGGCGAGTTGGACCGGCCGGCCGGTATCGCCATCAGCGAAGACGGGACCGTCTTCATTGTTGACAGCCGCAACTCCCGCGTCCAGAAGTTCACGCTGGACGGCAAGTACCTGGGCCAGTTTGGCAGCTTTGGCAGCGGCCCGGGCGAGCTGAACATGCCATGGGGCATCGACCTGGACAAGGAAGGCAACGTCTATGTCGCTGACTGGCGCAACGACCGCATCCAGGTCTTCACCGCTGACGGCGTGTGGCAGGCCAGCTATGGGCAGTCCGGCAGCGGCGTGGGACAGTTCAACCGCCCCAACAGCGTCGCCGTGGACGACGAAGGCGACATCTATGTGGCCGACTGGCTGAACAACCGGGTACAGGTCCTGGCTCCAGACGGACGGTTTGTCAGCCAGATGGTGGGCGACCACGTCATGTCCCAGTGGGGCAAGGACAAGCTGCTTTCCAACCCGGACATGATCCGGCAACGGGCCCTGGCCTTCGCCAACGACCCGACTTACGAAAAGAACTTTGCCCATCCCTGCGCCGTCAAGATTGACAGCAAGGGCCGCATCTGCGTGTTGGACCACACCCGTGGCCGCATCCAGGTTTACAGCAAGGTCAAGGACCCAGTGCTGGTGTAACCACCGGAGTCCCGAACCTTAGTTTCCGTCGAAAGTTGAGGGGCGCACCGATTGGTGCGCCCCTTGATTATTGCGAGACTATTTGGGGCAGCGTCTTTTATTGGGTGGTTCAGGAAAAAGATCGAGGGCAGCCACAAGGGCTGCCCCTACGGAGTTGTCGAAAACCTTTCATGGTTCCTGATGGCCGGACTACTCCTCCGGCGGTCCCTCCGGCAGGCCGTCGTCAATCCAGCGGGCAATTTCGTCCACCTCTTCCCGTGATATGAAGGGCCCGCGCAGGGGCATCTTGCCGAAGGTTCCTACACCCCGCGCCAGGGAACGCACAAAGTGGGTCTCCCGTCCCGGGAGGCCCGGTTCAATGGCACGGAAGCCGTTCAGCGTCGCATTCTGCAGGTCTTGGGGCGTTTCCCAGTAGTATTCATGGATGCCTGGATATGGTTCGCGTCCCCAGCGTCCCTTCCAGCGTTCCATGATGTCTGCAATGATTTCCTTGACTCTTGGCCAATAGACCGGTTCCACGTTTGAGTGTAGCGCGGTGGATTTCCGAGTAACCAGTATTCGACAATCCTAGTCAGGGTCTTTATGGAGCTGTCAAGCGACGCACGCGTATTGAACTTGCTTTAGGTCATATACTGCTTCTGAAATCAATTGCATGTCGGTTTGGCCGATTGCTTCGTCCAATGCCGAGAGCTTATTTCTGAGTTCAGTCAGAGTTTGCATGATTTCCCCAGTACTGGCTCCAAGACTTGACTCTCCATTAAGACTGAAGTCTCGGTAAAGATTCCTTAGAGAATTCTGTTTCTCCTCGAAAAGGGTAGGCTGCTGCCTGATGTGCTCGCGAACTCTGGCTATCTCTGTCATTTTCGAGTCGGAGTCTAGTGTGGATATTTCATCCAATACCTTACTTACAAACTCTCTGACTCCGATCTCCGCCAGTTCTTTCCGGAACTCTTCCCTTATGGGAAGCACTATTTCTGGAGGAAGTCCAGTTGACCTGTGGAATTCCCATAGTTTCTGCTCGTCGATAGCACTTGATACTTGAAACTCAAGTGAGGCCAGGAGTCGACTTGGAAAAGTAAACTCCAGCTCTTGGCTTTCTCCAGGCGATAGATTCTTTATTTCATGGGTATTCCCTCCGTACCTCCTATTGGTAGCGCCTGATGCAGTTACAATTACTGACTTGAAGTAAACTGCAGGCCAATCGCTGCTATTTGGGGCAGTGTTGTGGACTTTTACAATTAAGCGAGCCTCACCAGACCTTGAGTCTTCAGGCATTTCAACTTTTTTCTCAAAAACCAAGTAAGACTGCAACTGACTCCAGAATGCCAGCGATGACATCAATGAATCTTGACCATTAGAAACAGGTTCCGGATGGTCTGGATATTCAACTGAATTTTCGCCTCCTCTGTCAACAGGGTCCAGAACAAAGTCATGGCTCATTCGTTCAATCTCCAACGCTTCTTCACGGCGGAGCGAAGCCAAAATCGATTTCATCAACTCGGCAGCTTGGACTGCTCTTGCAGGCGAGACATCATGAATATGGGCCCATTCATTGCGCAGGTCATTGAGGCGGCGAAGGTCAGTCCAAGTTCTAACTGTATCTCCAAAGGCATCGGAAAAGGCTTCATTGTGGTTTTTCACAATAATCCACCCAACATGCGAGGTTTCACTAAAAAGTTCTCGGTTGTGGGTGGGGTTCTTCTCAACCACGGTCTGGAGACTCTTCAGCAAAGTTCCTTGAAGCGCATTGGTTACACCCCTTTCCCACCAGTTTTCTCCATATGCAGCAAGCAATCTATCTTTGATTGCCTGCCTAACCCCTTGCACATAAACACGATGAGTTTGTGTAAAGAACAGGTAACCGTCAGAACTCAAGAAACTATCCCATCAATAGATTTAGACGCCTATGCCAATTAAACCGGGTGTTCCTGTACCGACTCGCGGCGCAGGAGTTCCAGGGCGTGGGGTAGGACCGGCATAACCACTTCCAGGGTTTCGGCCACGCCTTTGGGGCTGCCCGGGAGGGTGAGAATCAGGGTCTTGCCGCGGATGCCGGCCACCGAGCGGCTGAGCATGGCCATGGGGGTGAACTTGAGGGTTTCGGCCCGCATGGTCTCCGCCATTCCGGGCACCTCGCGCTCGATGATGGAGAGGCAGGCTTCGGGCGTTACGTCCCGTGGTCCCAGACCGGTGCCGCCGGTGCTGACGATAAAGTTGACGTCGGGAGCATCGGCCCACTCGGCCATGCGCTGGGCGATCATGTCTTTGTCGTCGGAGACTACCTCGTAACGCACGAGTTCATAGTCCGGCGGGGGCAGCAACTCCTTGATCTTGTCGCCGCTGGTGTCCTCGCGCTGGCCATAGTATCCCGAGGTGCTGACAGTGAGAACCGCTAGTCCGAACATATCGCCTCCGGAAGAAATAATACCATACGGGGGGATTGCAATGAAGGTAATACACAGATGGGTGCGAATAGTCACGAATGACCTGGGGGACAAAATAAGGGGGCCGGATATTGAGTCTGCCGAAGGCCAAGTATTGAACAATGGAAAAGGGGCAGCCACAAGGGCTGCCCCTACAAAGTCGTAATTGAAGGCTTGATACCTAGGCCATGCCCTGCATGACCGTCTGGGCGGTGGCGCCTATGTCGGCGGGGGTGGGGATTATGTGGGCGCCGGCTTCGCGCATGGCCTCGATCTTGGCCTCGGCGCGGGCGCTGTCACCGGTGATGATGGCACCCGCGTGGCCCATACGCTTGCCCGGAGGCGCGGTGGCTCCGACAATCAGGGTGCAGACGGGCTTGGTGACCGACTCCTTAATGTAAGCTGCGGCTTCCTGCTCCATGGTCCCGCCGATCTCGCCGATGAAGACAATGATATCGGTGTCGGGATCATCGTTGTAGAGGCGCAGGATTTCGGCGAAGCTGGTGCCGACAATGGGGTCGCCGCCAATGCCTACGCAACTGGACTGGCCGAGGCCCAGGCTGGTCAACTGACCTACAGCCTCGTAGGTCAGGGTACCGCTGCGGGATACGACGCCCACCCGGCCGGGCATGTGGATGTTTGCGGGCATGATGCCCACCTTGCAGCGGGCGCCGGGGTTGATCATCCCGGGGCAGTTGGGGCCAATCAGCCGCACGGGCTTGCGCTCCAGGTAGCGGGCCACCTTGGCCATGTCCTGCACAGGCACGCCCTCGGTGATGCAGGCGATGAGGGGCACACCGGCGTCGGCAGATTCAACGATGGCGTCGGGGGCGAAGGGGGGCGGCACGAAAATCAGGGAGACGTTGGCGCCGGTCTCCGCCACGGCCTCTTCCACGGAATTGAATACGGGGACCTTGTCTTCAAATAGCTGGCCGCCCCGGCCCGGGGTGACTCCGGCCACCACGTTGGTGCCGTAGGCCATGCCGGTGCGGGCGTGAAAGCTGCCCTCCCGTCCGGTAATACCCTGGACGAGAATGCGGGAATCTTCGTTTAATAGAATGCCCATGCTTGGTTTCTGCTCCCGGTTAGATCTTAGGAACCCTGAACAAATTGTCGACGTCGCCGCGATAGCCGCAGTCCCTGAAGGAGGCTTAAGGGTATCAGCTTTGAAACGAGCGCCGGCACCCCCATCCTGACCCTTCCCCCGTCAAGAGGAAAGGGACTTGTTCAGAGGTCCGCTACACCGCTCGACGGATGGCCTGGGCGGCTTCGGTCAGGGTGTCGGCGAAGGTTACGTTGAGGGACGAAGAGCCCAGGATTTCCTTGCCCTCGTCGACGTTGGTGCCCAGCATCCGGACAATCAGCGGCAGTTCGGAGTTCAAACGCTCGAAGGCCAGGACGATGCCCCGGGCAGCGATGTCGCAGCGGAGGATGCCGCCGAAGATGTTGACCAGCACCCGGTCCACCTTGGGGTCGGAAAGAATAATGCTGACGGCGCTGGCAACTTTCTCCTCGTCGGCGCCGCCGCCCACATCAAGGAAGTTGGCCGGAGCCGCGCCGGCGGCGTTGGTTACGTCCAGGGTGGCCATGGCAAGGCCCGCTCCGTTGACCAGGCAACCCACGCTGCCTTCGAGGTTGACGTAGGCAATCTCCCATGTCCGAGGCCTGGGCTTCCAGCGCGTCTTCCTGGGAACGGTCGCGCAGTTCCCGAAGGTCGCCGTGGCGGAACAGGGAGTCGTCCTCCACGTCCAGCTTGGCGTCCAGGGCGACGACGCGGTCGTCGCCGGTGATAATCAGGGGATTGATCTCCACCAGGGAACAGTCGTTTTCGGTGAAGATTCGGTACAGGGTGTTCAACACCTGGGTGGCAGGACGGGCCTGGGCTCCTTCAAGACCCAATCGGGCAACGAGGCGGCGGGCCTGGTAGGGCATCAGCCCCAGGACAGGCTCGATGGGCTCGGTGTGAATGTCATCAGGGTTGGAGGCTGCCACTTCCTCGATGTCCATCCCTCCGGAGGCGCTGACAATCATCACCGGCCCGCGGAATCCCCGGTCTATGGTCAAGGCCACGTACAGTTCTTTCCGAATATCCGCCAGTTCCTCGATCAGCACGGAATTGATGGGAACACCCTGGGCATCAGTCTGGCGGGTTACCAGGTTCCGGCCAATAAAGCCCCGGGCCGCCTCTTCTGCTTCTTCGGGGGAGCGCACCACCTTGATACCGCCAGCCTGCCCGCGCCCTCCGGCGTGGACCTGGGCCTTGACTACCGCTTGCCCTCCTAACTCCTGGGTCGCGCTACGGGCTTCCTCCGGGGTATTGGCTACTATACCTCGCGGTACATCGATACCATACCGGGCGAAAATCTCCTTGGCTTGATACTCGTGTAACTTCATATGGTCTCCAAGGCAGGGGTCAGGCAACGGACATTTGCCGTCATATGCTGCAAAGCTAATATTTTAACGTGCCGGAACCCGCCATTCCGGTTTTGGACGGAGTGGCGGAGGCTTCGGCAATCGCCAACGGCGCGAACAGGTCAGATTACTAGCGCACCGTAATGGGGCTATTCAGGATTGATCAGGTACTTGAACACTTCCGCCTCCGAGGACAAGACAATCTTGTCCTGGGAGCCAAGGAATGCCGTGTAGGCTTGCAGGCTCCTGCGGAAAGCGAAGAACTCAGGATCCTGGTTCAGCGCTTCGGCCAGGATGCGGATGGCCTCCGCTTCGCCTTTACCCCGTATCTCGCTGCTTTCCTGGTCTGCCGTAGCCAGGATAACTTCCCGGTTGCGGTTGGCCACAGCCCGAATCTTCAGGTCTTCCTCTTCACCCTCAGCCCGGAAGCGGGTGGCAATCCGGTTACGTTCCGCCCGCATACGGGTATAAATGCTGGGCGTTACCGATGCGGGGAAGTCCGCCCGTTTCATTCTTACGTCGATGATTTCGATGCCGAAGTCCTGTTCCTGGGTAAGCTGTTTTACCCCGGCAAGCACTTCATCCAGAATCTCATTCCTGGTGTTGCGCCCTTCGAACAGGGGCAGGCCCTCATCATCTTCCACCGGATTACCCTGCTCGTCGACAATCGGCTCGGAGCCAATAATTTCGAAGCGGTCACGCAAAGCCACCCGGTCACGCAAAGTTGAAGTTACGATGTCGCCCAAACGGCTGCTGGCATTGATTTCCGTTTGCAGGGTCTTGCGGAACTGCACCGGGTCAACGATGCGGTAGCGGGCGTAGGAGTCGATAATCAGGTTCTGCTTTTCCTTGTCCGGCATGGAAGCCGCTGGAGCATCTATCCGCAGGATCCGCTTATCGAAGGTGACCACGTTATCCACAAAGGGGGCCTTGATGTACAGGCCTGGGGCCTGATGGGTGTTGATGACCTCGTTAAAGCGCAGGATTATAACCTGCTCGGTCTCGTCCACAATGTAGAAAGCCTGGCGCAGGACAATAAGTCCGATTACCACCAGAATTGCTACGATAATCAAAGGTCGCATAGTTACTCTCTTTGGGCCTGGTTACGCCGAGGCGCCGCTATTGACTTGGAACCGGTTACGGACCGGAGAACCCCATTAGGGTTGGGGTCCTATGGGCACCGGCGTAAGCCCACCCTCTCCCTGGCCAAGTATCAGGACAGTTTCAGCCTCGGGAGAAACAATAATCTTGCTGACCCCCGGGAGCACTTCTTCCATTGCCTCGAGATAGAGGCGCTGGCGTGTTACTTCCCTGGAGTTCTGATATTCCGCCAGGATGGAAGTAAACTGTGCCGCTTCACCAGCAGCCCTGGCGATACGGGCCTGCCTGAAGGCCTCGGCTCCTTCCGTAATCCGTTCGGCGTCACCCTCGGCCCTCGGGATAATATCGGCTTCAAAGGCCCTGGCCTGGTTGATGCGAGTGTCCCGCTCCTGGCGGGCTCTCAGCACGTCGTCGAAAGCGTCGCGCACCTCTTCGGGGGCTTTCACGTCCTGAAGCTGCACGGTTTCAATGTTAATGCCGGTGCTGTAGCTGTCCAGAATTTCCTGCAGCCTGATTTTCGTCTGTTCCTCAACCTCTTCACGGTTGCGAACCAGAACGTCGTCAATAGAACGCTGGCCCACTACCAACCGCAATGCGGCCTCGGCAGCATCTTTAAGAGTGCGGCCATCGGGCCGTCCCTGGGTCATGGGCCGACTGTCCTCACCCGGGTCGGCCACCCGGAACAGGAATGCGTTCAGGCTCTTGATGTTGTACTGCACCACCATCTGGACGTCCACGATGTTCAGGTCGCCGCTGATCATCAAGGCTTCGGTGGGGAAGGGATTGGCCGCGCCGGTCTCGTTGCCGCGGAAACCCAACTCCATACGCCGGGTTTCGGTTACCCGCAGCACGTCCTTCTTGCCGATTGGCGTAGGCCACCACCAGTGGAGACCTTCCTGGGTTACCGGACTGCCTCCTACCGCACCGAAGAGGCGCAGGGCGGCGTTTTCACCGGGACCGATGGTATAAACGCCGGTGCCCAGCCAAACTATGATGGCCAGTACGAGGATGCCTACTACGAAAAGGGCAACTCCCCCGCCGCCAAAGCGTCCGGAGACTCGACCTAATCCATCTCGAAAGCGAGCAGTGACCTGCTCAAAGTCCATTTCAGGCTGACGTTGTCCGCCAGGTGATTGCATAAGCCATTTCCTTGTTAAAAATTACCCGGGAAGTTCGCTGGCGACCACACCTCGCCCACCAAGGCAATTACAGCCAAGGTAGGGAACCTTCAAGTCGCACCCATAGATTCTACCATCATTTGGCAAGTCCGTAACGATATTGGCTAATATCGTTGCCAGAAGCGCCCACCGGACAGACGGGACATGGCTGGGGAACCGCGGCTTAACCCACTCTATCGCCCACCCCTTCCTGAGTGTGGGCCAGGCCCCAATCAGGTTACCTTGATCCTGCCGACGGGTCAGGATTCTTTCTTTTGAGACCGCTACTGATGCCTGGGCGGGCGTTAAGTACAGGACTTCAGATCCTTAACGTAGCTTATAGTGAACGTAGCCGAATGGCTCAGCATGGCATTGACGTAAGGCGCAACTGCCCCGGGACTTGGATGATACCGGAATGGGCAGGGTATAATAAACGTCAGATTCGGGCAGCAGGAAGAGGGCAGCTAAAGGCGCTTCCGCAGCCAAATACCGGGACAGCCGGGGAGGTTAGAAACAAATGGCAGACAACGGGATGACGATCAGTCCCAGCGATGACATGACCCGGATTCAGGTTACCTGCCCGCACCAGAGCGGCTTGCTGTACGTCGTTCCGGCAGAACGCAGCTGGGTTTGCACGCCGGAGCAGGTGCCGGCGCACGCGCTGGCAGGGTTTTTCAGGGAACTGGTGAACCTCAAGGATGCCAGGGTGGCGGGGCTGATGCAGGACTGGGGCCTCTACTACCGGCAGTTGCCGCTGGAGGGGGAGGAGGCTGAGGAAAAGCTGAGGCGGGGATGAAGAAGAGAGTGTCCCGCAAGGCCGTTCCCTTCTACTAATCTGTGAACAACCGGCGCTTCCGCTCCCGACCGGAAGGTTGCAGCCTCGACTTCCCACGGGCACTTCGCCTTATTCCTGGGAGGGCCCATTCGGGGTGCCGACTTCTACCCAGCGCTGGTCCAGGAGACAGCGGTCACAGTACAGAGAACCTGGCGGGTAAATCCGGCGATGGCACTTGCGGCAATACTGGGTTACCTGACCAGTCGTCGCCTGTCCTGCCCACATTATGAATGTGACCAGGTAATCCAGTGCCGCCCCGCAGGACCTGAATACGTGGCGCACTCCCTCAAAGGACCCACGGATTATTCCTCGTATGCCAGATGGTAGAGTTTCTGTCCCAGATTGAGAGGGCCTTGCCAGAAGGGCCAGCAAGGCAAGAGCCCCCACCACAGGTACCAGCGGCAAGAGCAATAGCCAGCCCGACATGCCTGTATCCCGAAGTCTCCTTATGGATGCCAGCAAGAGGAGAATGGTCAATACCAATATGGCTGTGTTTGCCACTGCATCGGCCGCGACAGGAGTCAAAACCAGCACAAGTATGACAACGACGCAGAAGAAGGAAAAGCGCCAGAAACCAGCGCGCCCGGTGCGTCCGGTGATAGCGAATGGTTTTTTCAAGGAGTTGACGAGGGTTTTTCAGGGGGCATTTTTGTTGCCTTCGACGAGGAGCCAGAACCTGAACAGTGGGGCTATTATACTATTTGCGGAAGAATGGCCGGCGTTTCGTTGAGAGAAGTACCAGGTCAGACACGCACCAGGAAGCTATCCCAAGACACCGACCCTGGCTTCCACTCCCATCCCAGGAAAGGATAGAAGTGAGGTTGAAGTCATAGCCCCTCTCATCCTGACCTTCTCCCGCCAGGGGAGAAGGGACCTCTCAGGGAACCTCTGGATTGGTCAGCGACATTTCAGTGAAGGCCGAGATCATCAAAAGGAAATTGGGGGCATCCGTAAAGAAATGAGCGCTTTCACCCCCATCCTAACCTTCCCCCCCACCCCTGACAGAAGAAAGAACTTTTCAGCACCGCTTCGAACTAACCAGCCCGGGACCCAAGGACAAACCCGAAAAGGTTAGGAAGCGCCAACCCAGGAAGCCACAGCCCAGGAAGCCAAGGCTACACCAGGCCAGAGGTCCCAGCAAGACGCCCGAGGAACAACGCGAGGCACGTCGCGTGTACGACCAGGCCAGGAGTCAGAAACCCGAACGAAAAGAAGCGATGCGGCTGCACGCGACGAAACTCCAGAAGGAAAGAAAGGTTGCTGGTCTCTGTGTCGGCTGCAGAAACCAGCCTATACCCGGCCAGACCAGATGCGAGAAATGCCGCAACAAGCACAATGAGAGCAGGAATCGAGGGAACGAAAGCAAACCAAGGCGCCCCAAGCTCACGCCGGAAGAACGTATCGAAGCCCGACGGGAGTACGAACGGACAAGGTCCCAGAAACCTGAACGAAAAGAGGCTACTCGGCTCAGCTACAAAAAACGTTCGCAGGAACGCAAAGCCGCACGACTGGCACCTCTAGCGTGAGGTGCTACCGCCCTGAAACCACTGAAAGTTGACACTTGTGCTCTCGGATGACCCATCTCTACAGTGAGTAATAGTCCCCAAGATCAAGTCGTGGGGCCGCTCAACTTCTCGGTTCGTGGAGCTGACAACCATGCCCGTGCTCCGCAAGGAAGGTCCCTACATTTGGGTCACCTGGCTGACCAAACTCCTCACCGGCGACGACAGCTGGGAACACGCCTCGTGGTTCAAGACCCAGTTCGACAACAACAGCTGGACCAGGGCAGAACGGGTCACCAACCTGGCCCGCTGGCAGGTCGGCCATACGGACCTGAAAAACGCCAAGGCCAGAGAGTTCCGGGAGCAGGGTTACCAGATCAACCACGAGGCCCAGAACCACTTCACCATCAAGGGAAGGCTGGCCACCATCGCCGGCAAGCCGGACCTCATTGCCCGCCAGGGCGACCTGGTCTGGGTCACCGACGCGAAGGCGGGCCGGCCCAGGGCTTCCGACGTCGTCCAGGTCATGATCTACATGTACCTCCTGCCCGTAGTCCGGCCTGACCTGCAGGGAGCAACCATCAAGGGCCTGGTGGTCTACGGGAATCACGAGCAGAAGATCCAGCCGGAAGAGGTTGACCCGGCCTTCGTCCAGTCCCTCCAAGGACTGATCCACCGGCTGGCGGCCATGGAACCGGCCGTAAAGGTCCCCAGCTGGACCTATTGCCAGTTCTGAGAAAATTGCAAGACTTTCTGCCGCGGCGGTTTCTTGCCTTACCCCGCCATCCGGCACAGAGAGGCCAATACCGGCTACCACCACCGTCAGTGATCTCGGAAAATCCAGAACGCCCATCTCACCGACTTCCATCGCGCTACCTGAATGGAGACCTGACCATATTAGCCAACCAGGAAAGCCAAAGTCCCATCAAAGAGAATGTTCAGAAGCAGACCTCCCAAGCTGCGGGATGCGGGCCCTGAATCAAGCTCACAAGAGACCGACAGGACCGCCCCTTTGGAAGAGTCCAATACCTCGGTATGCCAGTGGTCTTCACAAAGTCCCTGCAATTCATCCAGAGGACGGTTAGCCTGTTCAGACTGGAATGTCTTAAACCTGCGCGTCATCTCTCCCGCCGCTTCTTGTGCTCGAGCCTTGTTCTCATACCAAAGAGAGACGCTGATCCTATCCGCTTCCGGCGAAGTACGGCTGAAACCTGCAGACATCGCCTTCCATTCGCCCAGGCTCCCCCATCCAGATAGTGGTTTAAACTGCCTGAATCGAGGGTGCTCCGGTTCCAGAACCGCCTTGCGACTCAGAATGGCAATGAACAAGGGATCCGGCATCGTGACCACCAAGTCACTGAAGGCGGGATGGTGTCCCAGGGAAGGCATTTCTCCTATACGAACGGAGAGCAGTCCCTCCAATCGCTCGGCAGTCGGTGCAGTCAGCAGAGTCTGCCCGTCAGTAAAAACACTTCTCACATTGGCATTCACCACCCCGGCTGAAATCCAATCAAGGTCCACTCTGGTTCCCTCAGGCAAGGTCAGATATTGCAGGCCGGCGTAAGACCGCACCTGGTATCCAAGACCAAGCAGTTTTTCCCTTACTTTGACCCCGGTCAAACTGCCCAGAAAGCAGGTTGAGTTCAAAGCCAGCCCATTCCATCTCGCCGGTTTCGGCCATGACCATGACGTCCCAAGAACCAAATCCAAATGTATGTTCCCACCTGGGACCAAATTGCATCATCACGTTGTAGATAGCCGTATCAGGAATACCATGCTGAGCCTTCTCATACTCCTCATGCTGTCCCGGCGTCCAAGACAGCCATTCCTCGTCCCCTTCCGCCGGTCGCAGACCGGCCAATTCAAGAGCCGCGGCCGGGTTCGAGATCCAAACTCCGGAGTCGGCAACGCCAAGCGGCAGAGCATCCGCAATATCAGTCAACATAGATCGCTCAGGCCACAGAGCGGGGGCCCATGAGCCTTCCTCAGTCGGCGTAGGGACTGGAGGAGGCCGGCCAAGGGCGCTTTGCGAACCCGGGCTGATTACCGAACCTGCCCGGACCCTCCGCTGTCTTCTCTGAAAGTTCGGCGAGTCCAATTACTAGAGCCTCAACAGACGGCTCTGGGACAGGAATCGAGCCTGGTTGCTGATGGGGCTGCCCCCCGCCTAATAAGATAGGAGACGCATGGCCTGGTTTCTCACTCATCACGGCCACTCCCGCTTCTTGCACCGCAGGCGTGGCGCTCTGATCCATTGACACAGCCCGCGTTTCAGGAGGGGCTGCGGATGTACAGCTGACCAAAGTCAAGCACCCTAACAGCAGAGCAGCTGAGAATAACTGTCCGTTCATTACACAACTCTTTTCAAGGGGCCGGCTGGTAAGGCCCAGCTTAGCAATTGAGGCCGGCCCCTTGAAGATCCTAGCGGGAAATCATCGACTCGGCGACCTGCCTGAGAGTAGCCTCAGTCTGATCATTCTTAATACTACCGACAACCGAAAGAAAACCGTCCCCTGCTGGCCACATGAGGGCAACAATGGCATAGGGCCTTTCCTCGCCACTCTCGTACAGGACTCTCTCCACAGCTGTATCAGAAATAGAAGACGAGCCAC